AATGTCATCAAAATCTGATCGTGTGTTTTTGGTAGAAGTAATGGTGGATGAATCTGTGACATTGTTCATCTGTTCGTCACAGATGTGATCATGGTGCTGGAGTGAGTGAGTGAGTGAGTGAGTGAGTGAGTGAGTGAGTGAGTGAGTGAGCATGGCTCTACGCTGTTTAGAGCAATATTCCAGCAATATCATGCCAGAAGACACCAGAAATGGGCTCCACACATTGTATCAATGTAGGGAATCAAACCTGGGTCTTCGGCGTGACAAGCAAACACTTTCACCACTAGGCTACCCGACCCCCCATTATTTGTAGTAGTAGCATGGCAGCATAATGTTGGAGGAACAACCAACCAAGTCAGTGAGTCTGACCACCCGATCACGTTAACCGCCTCTTACGACAAACATTGGTTGCTGAAAGCCAGTTCTAACCCGTATGTTCATGGGTCTTATGTTGTGGTGGATGAGAGGCATGATGAAACGAAATGGGTCCAATGTCGCTTCTAAGATTACTACTAGGGCTGTTACGATTCCCTCACATATTCGGTGAATCGAACCGTATACCTTCAAGAATTCTACTTCTTATTCACAAACACTAGAACTGAATATTCATGACGGTTCTGGAAAGAAAGTTAGTTTCCTTGGTTTTTGATATCTGATAGGTGAAAAAACATAGCCAAAACACATCTTTACAAGAACCATGAACGTTGCATCAAAATGCAACCATAACGCCTCGTGCAGTCACTTTCTGCATGTGCAGGGTCGAGTAGATAGGTTTCTGATGGCTAAGTGGATGGTCGACAATTTTGATCAGTGAGACTTGTACTGGTCGCAGATTACACAAATAGTTTGCCATATTCGGGCATAGTATAGATACTAAACAATTTAGAATTATAGTTGTGTATCTTATAAGATAGCTTATCTAGTTCATGTAGTTGAGAAAAAGTATCATATTGAGTTTGGTGGTCGGAGTGGCAAGAACGTTGTTTATTTACCATTTAGTTAAGCACGTTTTTTCACGTTTCACAAATCATTTTAGTAATTCCACTGCCTAAACAATGACTTAAATAAAACAAGAAAACAAAGTCATCAATATCCCCCGCAATGGCAAAATACTCTTCATGATTATGTCTACGAGTTATGATTATGTCAAATATTTAGGTGTGTATATAGAAAGGTGGAAGGAGGGTATTGAAAGGGTTTTAAAGTTCCGCTCCAGAAAGCAGCACTATCACCAATTTCAGGCTAAGTCAAACTTGTTGTCATGGAAATGCCAAAAATATTTTATTCAGAATTCCAAAACTACCAAAAGGCACCAGTACACCACCAGACCAATCTATGTGCCAAGTTTGGTGAAGAAATAGTGAACAGTTTTAGAGTTCTGCTCTGGAAAAGAGCACAACCACCAATTCAGGCTAAGTCGAACTTGTTGCCATGGAAACGCCAAAAATATTTTATTCAGAATTCCAAAACTACCAGAAGGCACCAGTACACCACCAGATCAATCTATGTGCCAAGTTTGGTGAAGAAATAGTGAACAGTTTTAGAGTTCTGCTCCGGAAAAGAGCACTACCACAATTGCAGGCTAAGTCAAACTTGTTGCCATGGAAACGCCAAAAATATTTTATTCAGAAATCCAAAACTACCAAAAGGCACCAGTACACCACCAGATCTATCTATGTGCCAGGTTTGGTGAAGAAATATTGAACGGTTTTAGAGTTCTGCTCCGGAAAAGACAAATGTGCACGGACGGACAGTCCATTTTAATACCCCCCGAAAAACGCGTTGAGGGGGATAGAAAGAGTGTGTTTTTCTTGAATTTGGGTGTTATTTATCCAAATGAGATAACATGAACTAAATATATCTATGAAAGCCAGGATGATAGTCATCACTTATAAATAATTTGGCAGTTGTGGGGTCACTAGGCATTGTCATGATAAACTAACACTGTAATCATGGCAACACATGTCAAATAATGTATCTTGTTATTGATTCTCTGAATATACAGAATAATACATCAAACGCTGAATTGTTATTGTATTGTTCACCAATATTCATATTCTTTACCCAGTTTCTGTGACATGCGTCATAATCGGCTCATTGTGGATTCATTGTAGTCCTAATTACTGCTATAAATCTCAGCCAGCATGCACCTGTGAAGCTGTACTTGTACTTCAACACTGACACAAACTGCCAAAGTGAATTACCCAGCTACCCAGCTAAGACACAGTAAACAGACTCTGAGCCGACCGACCTCGTTAGGATGAGAAAGCCACAATAACTCGGTGCGCCTAGTGGCAGCAAGAGTTGTATACTCCCCGGGGAGTTGAGATTGATAATACAGTGTGCCGTTGAGATTGACATCCAATGATCGAGGGGAAAATACCAGCCCTTGAGCATGCACTAGCTGCGTGGATATGTGCGCTATATAAATATCCTGTAATAATAATCTCAAAATGTCTGCCAGGGATACAACATATATGTTCTTTCAAAGCTTTCTGGTATGAGGGGAGGTGTGGGTAGCTCAGTGGTTGAAGCACTTGCTTGTCACGCCGAAGGACGGGGATCGATCGATCGATCGAGCTGTCAGATTGTTCCAGAGTACTCAGAGGAGACAGTAATCCTGGCTGTTTGAATTGGACAATGCTGTAGTTTCATTTGGTGGTGTGACATACAGTTACATACTGAGAATGATTAACATAAAGAAATATTAAAATTTTCATGACTCCCAAATATTGAAAATGACTCCCAAAAATAAATATTGTGAGTCACCATGACTCCCATTTTTTAAAAGTCTGTGTAAAACTCTGCATAAGTGAATAGGACTGGTCTCACACCACATTGACCAGTATTACAATAACAGCTTGACATGGTTGGTTGGTTGTTTAACGCAGCATACAGCAATATTCCAGCTATATGGCGGCAGTCTGTAAATAATCAAATCTGGACCAGACAATCCAGTGATGCATGAGCATTATCAACATAACTTGGATACAATGACATGTGTCAACGAAGTCAGCGAGCCTGACCACCCAATCATGTTAGTCACCTCTTACGACAAGCATGGGTTACTGAAGACCAATTCTAACACAGAACTTCACGGGTCGCTTGACGTGGGAGGAAAGTGAGATGCAGGTCCTAACAGATTTACCATTCTGGTAAAACCCATGTAAGGGTTGTTAGACTGCTGGAAACATGTAAACAAATTGAGGACAAATCTTGGATATAAAACCTGCTTCCAGCATGCATAAAAGACCAACTGCCAAGCTTTAGGAGGTCGGCCAACCACAGCCTATTATGAAGAAACTGTACATGACAATCAAACCTAGTTCCATGGAATATAAAACCACATGTTTGACCTCAACTGCAGCAGCACCTAGATGCTAGGTCAAACATGCCCTGTCATGGAATAAATAAAACTGACAAATGGACAATCCAAGTCCTCATACCAACATGAAATCTAAAAATATGTTTGATCTACCTCGACTACAGAATCACCTTAGATGATATGTCAACCATGCCCTTATCACGAAAGAAACAAAACTGAGAAATGGACAATCCAACCACCTCATACCAACACGAAATCTAAAAACATGTTTGATCTACCTCAACTGCAGAAGGACCTTAGATGCTAGGTCAACCATGCCCTATCATGGAAGAAATAAACCTGACAAATGGACATCCAACTGCTGTATTCCACCAGGAAATCTCAAACTACTCCTGTATTCATTCTCCCATTCCTCCACGGGGTATAAGCAGCAAAGCTCATCAATAATCTAGTGCACTTGTCTCCAAAGTTTCAGATCTAAGCTGAATCGCCTTCAGTCTGCTTCATGAAATATTCGAATTCTCTTAACAAACTGGCTGACAAATACTAAATAATTCAGACAGGGAATCGATGAAAAATATATGGCCTGCTTTCTGTTACAATTATGTGGCAAGTTGTTGCAAGTGTCTTGCAAACATTCTATTGCAACGAGCAGGCAGGCACCCAACAAACACCACCCTGTGAATAATACATGCATGTGAAGCTTATGTATCTAATTACTGTGAGAAGTGGTAGGAGCGTAGTACATCAGTATCGATTGTGTTCTGTGAGCTGCAAGACGCTGGCGTGACAACGAGACACACTCAGAGAGTAATCCCCTGCCTGAATGTGGTAGATCAATATTCCCCACAACTCGGTTATGTTGGGAGTCTTGCAGGTAGGCAGGAAGTTCCAACACTGATTGATAGCAAGCACATCTCACAGGTAGGCAGATGGAAACAGGTTTGGTCTTACAGTTAAGCAAATGGAAAAGTCAGTCTTTAATGTGGGCAGATGAAAAGGTGAAATCTAAGCGGTAAGGCCAAAAGAAAGAGAGAAAGTGTATTAGCTAAAATCAAAGAAACACACCATACTCTTTGGTATGGTTTTTTTTAACACTGCATTGAACTATACTTCAGTTATATGTAAACGATAAATTCTGGATCTAGCGTGTGAGTGAGTAAGTTTGGTTTTACGCCGCTTTTAGCAATATTCCAGCAATATCATGGCGGGGACACCAGAAATGGGCTTCACACATTGTACCCATGTGGGGAATTGAACCCGGGTCTGCGGAGTGTCGAGCAAATGCCTTAACCACTAGGCTACCCCACCGCCCCTCACCCTTAATGAACAAGCTGATTATGTAAAGAAGAAGTCTATAATGGATCTGCAATCCAGACACTCAGCCTTACTCTCTGGTAAACAGACATGATGGTGAGAAGGTCTTACTGTAGACGTCAGAAGGGATTCAAATTTCCCATTTCAAAGCAAAACAACCATCCTCCCACTAAATAACACATACTTTAGTCATGTCCCACTGTGGTAGATCTGATACCTAGGAATATCTATATACAACCTTTCCACAAGGTTCAGCTAATAAAGCCCTGTCAAAGACCTGTCTCCCACGGGATTGAAAACAATCTTCAAGAAAACAACAAAAAAACAGTCCTTGAAATATAACCCGCAGACTACTTACTTTTTCCTTTCGGGCAGCAGACGAACTCGACTCCATTGAACCTGTCAAGGCCACATTCCAGCAGCATGGCGAAGCTCTCGGTCACCATCTCCCTCTGTCTACACATGGAGATGGCTGTGTCATTCCAGCTCTTGAACTCCTGGCAGATGCTGGTGTCATGGTGGTGGTCAAACACGCAGTGCTGGGGAACCAGAAGGGCATCGCTTTGGAAGGGGCCATCTGCAAAACACAAACAGCGCTCATTCAACAAAAACTAATACAAATAATAATTTATATAGCACCAAATTCCACACCACGTATGCTCATAGCAATAACAATGACTAGCACAGCACATTACTACCTCGGATAACACATGCTGCTTGTTAGGCGCTAGAAGGTTATAGTCACATGACTTATCCCACCGGGTACCCATTTTCAGCTAGGTGAACAGAGGCAAGTTTGAACAAACTCACTTGCGTAAGGTGAGACCACATGTATCACATATGCTTCGGTGTGGGGCAGGACTGAAGTCCTAGAAACTCTCAGGAGTCAAGCTGTCAAACACAGTCACCCATCCTAGGACTCTCCACACCTAATGTTGCTGAACTTCAACTGTTTTGTGACCTGAGCTCTATGATTGAGTGGGTGAGTGAGTTTGGTCTTACGCCGCTTTTAGCAATATTCCAGCAATATCACTTCGGGGAACACCACAAATGGGCTTCACACATTGTACCCATGTGGGGAATCGAACCCGGGTCTTCGGCGTGACGAGCGAACGCCTTAACCACTAGGCTACCCCACCGCCCCTCCTGAGCTTTATGACCACACACCAACACAGGAACTCTTGGACAAGATTATTGCTTGTATTGGGCAGAATAGAAAACCAGTACACTACACATATTGTACTTTACAGATTCCTGAACAGAATAGGTTCCCAGTACTCAATGCAAATTTACTTCCCAGATTCCAGAACAGAATAGCCTATTTCTTAAAGACAAATATGCAAAAAAATATCAAACAGCCTAAAAACTCTACAATACTAAACATGTCTAAGTGAAAGAATGTGACCGACCTTTGGTTTAAACATATTCAGTTTAATTTGCTTACTTCATTAAAGCAATACGGTGTCTCCTTCGGTCACTAAAATACTATGGTAACCAAACAATTCCACCAGCTTAAAATGATGAAGCATTACATTGCCACAATATTCCTACCTAATGACTGCATCATATAATTCATTTAGGCTCCTCTGGGGAAACATTCTAGATAAATATTACTTCCCTCACCACTAATCACAATTAACTGTTGTGGAGTCTTAATCAAATTTCAACTCAAACTTTTTGTCAACTTTACAGCTTGACTTTCTATTCAGAAATGCCAAAACATGACAGAACATTGATAAATGTTTTGGTTGGCGACCTGTTCGACATCTATGCCTATAGAAATTGAGCAATAAATTTCATTCAGATGAGGAAAATTCTGTTATTTCTAAACTATCGACCATTCCTTCTTTGCAAGCATGGCAAGGTCTGACATCAAACACAATGAACCGTCCCCAGCCAACATTGACATTGCATTAGATCTTCAATATTTTCGATTGTTTCAATAATATGAAAAAATATGCATGATAAACCTTTCTGATGTGCACCATTAAGTGCCACAGCGATGATTCATTATTCCACTGGATTTTTTGTTTGTTCTCTTAATCTGCTCAGCATTCAAATTAATCTTTGATATGATGGCCAGACAGTGTTGATGCTGATGAAGCTGAAATCGTGTAAGTTATGTAGACAAAAAACAGCTTACGCAGCACTATCTGAACCATCAGCATTTATCTGATGTTCTTTAATCCTTTCCAGGGAACTTAACACAATGACTATAGACAATATGAGTGAGTGAGTGAGTGAGTGAGTGAGTGAGTGAGTGAGTGAGTGAGTGAGTGAGTGAGTGAGTGAGTGAGTGAGTGAGTGAGTGAGTGAGTGAGTGAGTGAGTGAGTGAGTGAGTGAGTTTAGTTTTACGCCGCTTTTAGCAATATTCCTGCAATATCAAGGCGGGGGACACCAGAAATGGGCTTAACACATTGTGCCCAGAGTGAATGAGTGTGGTGAGTGAGTGAGGAGTGAGTGAGTGAGTGAGTGAGTGAGTGAGTGAGTGAGTGAGTGAGTGAGCGAGCGAGGTTTATGCCGTTTTAGCAATATTCCAGCAATATCATGGCAGGGGACACCAGAGGAATCGAACCCGGGTCTTCAGCGTGATGGGTGAACACTAGGCTACCTCACCACCCCTGGAGAAAGTGGGTATGTCAAGTCATGTCTGTGCAACGGCTGTACACAAGAACATTAAACAAAAGAAAGAGTTGTCTTGGTATCCATGACGAAAGGTGAGAGGCATTAGTATGCCACGACACGACTGAGGAATGTTTACCAGCCAAAGGTCGCCCTGTAACAGTCCTGGACACCGGGGACATTAATTACGTGGACACACGACCCGACTATCCTTCCTCCATCAGTCCCTGATGAGGTAGATGCAGAAAGATATGGGGCAGGGGATATTTGTCAGTGGGAATTACCACTGCTTTCTGGAAACCAAAAACTGTTTGTAGACAGACTCATCTCTATTTTGTCTCCATTTAACACTGAAATCAGCAATATCCCAGGTATAATGGCCTTTTAATAATCAAGTCAGTATAAGAAAAACCAGTGAGTTCAGTTTTACTCCACTTTTAGCAATATTCCAGCAATATCATGGCGTGGGACACCAGAAATGGGCTTCCAAAATTGTACGCATGTAGGGAATCAAACCCAGATCTTCGGTGTGATGAGCGACCACATTTAGGCTACCCCACCGCCCCATCAATTGGGTTAAATGATACAGAGTCAGACAAATTAAAGAGTCTTTGCTTCTTTTTCAAAACCTGATTTTTGTTTGTTGTTTAACGCAGCACTCAGCTGAATATTCTAGCTGTATGGCAGCAGTCTGTAAACATTCAAGTTTTTACCAGACAATCCAGTGATCAACGTTATGAGCATCAACCTACACAATTGGGAAGACCTAACAAAGAGCTGGGGACCGATTCTACTTCCGGACCATCCAGTGATCTTGGGTGAATGCGTAAGACTGCACATCAGCAATGATACAGTTATATCACAGCTGTCCATTACAGTGCGTCAGCCCATCAGGATCAGCGATTGTCAAAGCATCAGAACACTGATACATAATCGACCAGACCACACTATAACCAGCTGATCCTCACTGTCAGCTCTACAAACAAGCATGGAGATCTTTTGTCCCAAAATGCCAACAGTTGATCATTTGTCTGGAGAACAGTGATACAGAAACTTGGGATCTGGGCACATGGTGACAGTTCGGGAATAGCAACAGGCAATATATTGTCCAGAGGAATGAGGGTGGTCGACAGTAGTGGTCGACAGTTCGGGAATAGCAACAGGCAATATATTGTCCAGAGGAATGAGGGTGGTCGACAGTAATGGTGGGGAACTGGGCACATGGTCATTTCGGGAAAAGCAACAGGCAATATATTGTCCAGAGGAATGAGGGTGGTCGACAGTAACTGTGAGGAACTGGGCACATGGTCAGTTCGGGAATAGCAACAGGCAATATATTGTCCAGAGGAATGAGGGTTTTTGAGAGTAACTGTGAGGAAATGGGCAGATATTCAGTATGGGAATAGCAACAGGCAATATATTGCCCAGAGGGTTGAGGGTAGTCAAGTGTAATGTGGGGATATGGGCACATATTCTGTGCTGAAATATCAAAATGTATTGAGAAAATATACAACCTCAATTGTAAAGTGAGTGCAAGGAGAAACTGGCAGTTTTCAGAATCTTTCTTTCCTTATTCAGGCGGTGGGGTGGCCTAGTGGTTAAAGCATTCGCTTGTCACGATTCCCCACCCAGGTTCGACTCCCCACATGGGTACAACGTGTGAAGCCCATTTCTGGTGTCCCCCAATGTGGTATTGCTGGAATATTGCTAAAAGCGGCGTTAAACTAAACTCACTCTTTTCTTATTCATGAAAGAAGTCTCTGTCAGGTATTCTACTTGACCCCTGATCTCATATAGTCCTGTTTAGATACACCTATGACAAACAGAGAACAGAAATTTATGAGGAATTTGAGATGGTCCCTACATGACTTACAAGGTAGACCTTTGCATGAATTGTACATACAAGACTGACAAGCCAACAAAAGCCCTACACTGAGAGAAGACGACCTTCAGCACATTAACCTGTATTCACCGCGACCCAGACAATCACGACAGAGAATTCTACACAACTGATAGGCTGAATGATGGCTTACATTATGACTGGAAATATTTCAACCATATCAACACCAGATATTGACAAAGGCTGGGGCTGCTAGTTTTCTTACTTTAAGCCCTTTCTGATGATTATCTTTAAGCCATTCAAATATTCTAAGTTTGAGACCATCCCCTAGTCGCGACAAGTCTGAATCAGATACCATGGACAAGGAGATTGGCTTTAACAGTAAAACTGCTACGATAGAAACGGTGGACCAACAGGTTTATTCTGACATGCACAGAGGCTGATATTCGATCCCATGTCGGCAGCAAATGTAATACATTATTGCACTCAATCCAATTTTAAAAAATACCAAAGAAATTGAGACAATATGAACTTTTAACAAGACAATTTTTTCCTAGAGCCTGCTGACGGCACTTAGTCCAGATCCTCGATGAAGCCTACACCAACATTGGTTGGTTTTCAAGGAGAGTCAAGAATATACGACATATATTACCTAGTCTAATGTCTGACTCATCCTATGTTGTTGTCATGAACAGTTCTTGGGGTTAGTCACGATATGGTTGAGATATTGCCGATGTCACATTAAATATTAACTCACTCACTCACTCTTGCGGTTAATAGGTACACTACAGGGGAGTACAACAGAAGGGGTGGATAAAATACTTATACCTCGCGCTACCCTCACCATGTGCATGTAAATATGTTTCATGACTGTCCATGAAAAAATAAACTGTGAAACTGTTTTTATAGTTTATCATAACTGGTGTTATAGTGACTGAGTGAGTTTTACACAGCACTCAGCAATATCCCAGCTATATGGCCGCTGTCTGTAAATAATCGAGTCTGGACCAGACAATCCAGTGATCAACAGCATGAGCATCGATCTGTGCCATTGGGAACCGATGACATGTGTCAACCAAGCCAGCGAGCCTGACCACCCGATCCCCGTTAGTCG